GGTTGGCATGGTGACCATAACCCGTGTTTCGGCTAGGGCCCCTCAGATGCGTCACACTCTCCTGCTTGATGCGCCACCAGGAAGAATGTCGTCTCTCAACATAGAGCGCTCACGACTCCTTACTCAAAAGAGAACACTCAAGGTTGGACTCAGTTCCTCACAGTAAGAAGATTTTGAGCGGGTAGATAAAGTAAGGAAACAACTTACCTGGAGATTGCTGCCCCCAACCACAGATTTCTCACAAATTGAGCCGATGTGCATTTCGACGACTGGTCATAGCCTTGGTACCACCCACAACGCAATGCAGTGTCACCTTTTTCGGGCGCTCAAGTGTCCTTATTCGGTTGGGCACTTCCAGGATGCCTTTAACGCTTAAGTGTTCTAAGTGTTTGCATTGCTGCGCGGGGTAGGTGTGACAACATTGTTGCACTCTCTTTGGCCTGCGGTCACTCTGTGATATGTCGGTCTGACATTGCGTGTGCCCAGGGCGCAACCATCTGTGTCTTGGGATGAACTGCTTAATGCAGCTGTTGCTTTTGAAAAAAACATTGGGAGAGGTCCAGGTTGCACTTCAACCGACTGGCGTGCAACAACTGTCCGTTACCCATATTGGAAAATGTTGGGATAAGGATCTTTCGTGGATAAAGACCCGGCTTCACTAAGGGCAGGCACGAGGCTTGCTGGGGGCCACAATCCAGAACATGTGCATGTTGGCTAGGGCCCTTTGAGGACACATTCCTCACAATTTTTATGATTTGAAGATAATTTAAAAAATAATTTTGCCTCAAAATTATGCCTTATTAGCTTAAGTATGCATTGTGTATAATGGTAATTGTTTTTGTGTATTTATCCTTTGTGCTTCTAATTAACAGTCGATAATTCATTGCTTATTTTGCAGGTTATCATCATGGAAGAATGGGATACAGAAATCATCTATCATCGATGCCAACAAATTGTTGGCATTTTAGGAAGCTATCTCAAGGAAATTAGGATGTAGTATTGTATTTTGGTCGTAATGCAGGTTAATTATTATTCTTTGCGAGATTTGACTACATGAGCAGCGATGGCTGAGGAATATTCGTTGATACAAAGTAAAAGGTATGTTTTGTTTAACTATATCATTTTGACCATTTGTTTACCTTTTTCTTCTATAAGAAATATTATTTTTTGTAATGAAAATATAATACGATATAGAGTTTATAGCGATGGCTAAAAAATAATATATATATTTTATATAAAAATATTGTGCAAATGATAATATTTTAAGTTGTTTTGTTGCATTATACTCTTGAAAAAAACTGTGTCCATCCTAGTGTAGAATGCTGCATATCAATTTTTTAGTGGATTGTTTTTTTTTTCAATTTGTAAATGCTTCGAAAATGGTATGGACGACTAAGTCATTTGGACGGCCATGACATGTTATGATAGGATGATAACCTAAACAAATTATGAAAAACTTATGTCCTCGATATTTGAAACTATTTTTTGTTAATAGTCTTCGTAAGTATCCTTAAACAATAAGAACGCAAAAACAAAAGGAAAAAAAATAGAATGTTAAATATTCTTACTTATAAGTAAATTTATTGTAATTTTTTGTTTTCGTTTCGAAGGTTTATTTCATGTTTTACAATCTTGGATATTTCATAGTATAATAAGTCAACAAACAAAGGAGAGAGAAGACATCAACACAAGTTAGAACCAATATCACTTCTCCATTATCTTGATATCAACTCCCTCTTCCCACATCTCCCCCAACATCTTATTAATAACAAATTACAACAACAAGGAATGAATGACCATTGGAGCCTAAGTTCAACGTTCAAAGGACAACAAAAGGTTACTCGGGGTCTCCCATTATGTTGGACATGCCACATTTTTTCCTGGGTGTTTTCCTTTGAAGTACAATGGTTTGGGGGGCCTTCCAAGTGCAGCAACAAAAAAAAATATTGAAGAAAGTTGATCACCATAACTAAGGTAAGCTGCTTCTTCTCGACTCCTTTTTTCTTATTTCGGACTGGTCGCTTTCTCATTTAGGCCTTTTTCAATCTTTTCCGTGGTTCCTCCAGCACAATTAAGATGACCGTTAGACTTTTCCTCCACCCTTCGCCTCCTTCCTCACTTCTAGGCATCCGCAATATCGAGATGTTTTCGTCATGGTTCCATCATAGTCAAGGTAAGCTTTCAAACTTTGCCTCCTTTTTTCATCCAGCTCATTAGGTGATCGCTTGACCATTGTGTCGACAAGTGCACACCAAAAACTATGGTTGAGGTGTTGGTTACCTCCTATGATGTATCCGATCGGATTATCAAGGACTCGTTGAGTTCCACAAATGTACGGGGATTAGTATCTCTTTGCACGGTCAGATGAAGACCGCGCGGCTTCGTTAAACCACCATTACCCCTCGCTGTCCTAAACTGGGGGGGGACCAGTAGCAGAGGTTCTTAAGGACTACCGTTAGCACAGTGAGATGCACTGAATTTGCCATCGCTGTCTGTTTGGTGGTTCGCATGAATGTTTTTAATTTTTTTGAAATGTTTTTTTTTGACAGATCATAGACCCTCTAATTGTCAGAGCTTAGGCGTTATTATTTTGAGCGCACAAAATCTCATAAGTTGGGGTACTTTTTCCATTCGCTGAAAAGTGGTAGAGTGGAGAAAATGGAAAATGCAATGAATCAGCGCGCGATTTATTTGGCGGTTGAAAATTTGTATTTTTTTTTCTGGATATTTCTCTTGAATAAACTACAATTTGTTATCATGATCAATTTCAAAGTTCATCAGAAAGTACAATGTCGTCCAATTGCAAAAAGAAATGAATGAACTTGAAAGCATATAGAGAGCGAAAAAACAAGAAGAAGAAGAAGAAGAAGAAAGAAAGAAAGAAGAAGAAGATGATGTACACCAGCATAGATCAATGACAATGCTCTTCTTATTACCTAACTAGTCTCCTCCTGTGTATCTCCGCGCCTCTTATTCAATCAAGAAATAAAAATAATAATGTTGAATGGCTGAACCGGAATTAATGAATCCCTCTTCTATTACAGGTATCACATGAGGTCCACCATAGCCATGACACCCTCGTCCTTCCTCTTCTCGAAGACCTAGGCTATGGTGGACTGCTAGGGCCTTGCCCTGATGTGCAGAAGACAACTCAAGCAGCTATGGCTGCTCTAGTTCAGGCCGTCATGCCTGACTTTGCCTCGAAGCTTCTTGGTGTAGTTCTATCCCCGTTTGGGCCTTCTTGTTGAAGCGCCCACCAAGGTGATGAAGATTGCAACCACCGTAGCCAGCTAAGTACCTATGGCGTTCCCTTTTCTAGTCCTGCTCTTCTTGCTCCTCTTGTCCGTACTCCTTCCCGACAGCGGGGCTCCAAGCTAGCGCTGCTCCAGTCAGCACGCCAACCAGTGTGTCGCCAAACTTGCATCGACAATGAGGAGCACCGTGCTGTTCCTGGAGATATAGCGGCCTGCTTGCCTCTTGGCGAGCGACTTCCTAGGCTGCACAGCCTCCACGCAACTGGTACCTCCTCCCTTTCGGATGAAAATATCATTGTAAACTTTGATATTGCCCGTATAGATTGGTTGGACTAGCACCCGCCTCGACCTAGCCTACACTGGGCCTTCTTTTTTTTTTTTTTTTTTTTTTTTTTGAGAAAACACCCCGACCGGTGCTAGTTGTGCTGATAAGAGCAGACACTACTACCACCCTGGGAGAGACTCCATCTACATCACCTGCTGGAAAACGAGTCCAGCGTCCCATGTACAAAATGTAATCAGGGAACATCAGAGAGCATCAGAGAACCTCAGAGAAACAATCCTGGCAGCATTGATTACCCTGGAATACAAGGGATTGACTGAGCAGGACATTTGGAAAAACTTGGGAGAGTGATTTTTTAGAACAACAACTAGAGAAAATCTGCCAGTATTGACTACAACTAGAGAAAATCTGCCAGTATTGACTGCTCTGGCCTCTAGAACCAGACCAGGCGTCCCTGATCTGAAGACGCCATGGGCATCCAGCTGATCCTCTTCCTCTTCTGTATCTGTTCATTTGGCCAAGGGTCGGGGGGAGCCACTGGGGGGCACCAGTGGGTCCTCCTGTCACCCTGCCCTTCCTCGAACGGTCCCCTTGCAGTCATGTAGCCATGCAGCCATCTGCTGGGTGTAACCAGCTGTGATCCTTCCCTGCTGTATCAGAATGTTGGACTCTCACCTTTTTATAATGGCATCCATTGGATTACATTAAACATGCCAACTTTTGTTTTCTTCTGCTTGGCCTCGAGTACCTTGCACATCTACCTCGAATAGGTGTGGTACGACCCTACCTACTACTCGAGTGTTTTCCGTTGTACTAAGTGTTTGGCCTCTTTCCCCGCCACATGAGTGCTTTCCCCGTTGCAATGGCGAATATCACGGCCACATTTAAATATCGGCCCTTTGAGCCTTTCAGAATAACCGAGTGTCCTTACGGGTCACACACACTTAATGCCGACAAACACTCAGACATACATGCAGACCGGCAATCATGCACCCACACTGTTATGATCCTGACCAATTTCGAGATACACATCCATCAGATAGTACAATGCCGTCCAATTGCATAAAGAAATGAATGAACTTGAGAGGAGAGAGAGGATTAGGGGAAGAAGAAGAAGTAAGAAGAAGATGATGTACACCAGCATAGACAAATGACAAGGCCCTTCTTCTTCGCCCAACAATCTCCTCCCCCTTATTTCCCCCTTCTCTTATTCACACAAGAAATAATAATACAATGTTGATCCAGAATCAATGTCAGAGTCCCTCTTCTACTGAAGGTATCACTTGAGGTCCACCATTGCCATGGCCGCCTCTCCCACTCTTCACTCTCATAGGCTGAGGCTATGGCGGACTACTAGGCCTTGCCCAGATGCCCAAAGGACAACCCAAAGCAGCTATGGCTGCTCTAGCCTAGGTCGCCATGCCCAACCCTGCCTTGAAGCTTCTTGGTGTGGCTCTCCCCAGTTGGGGACACCTGCTGCAGCGCCCACCAAGGTAATGAAGATGGCTGCCACCATAGCCAGGTAAGTACCCCTGGCGCTCACCGTAAAAAATGTGAGGTCTTTTTCGCGTATTGACGATATTTTAGAACGGTTGGTCGGTGCGAATTTTTTTTTCAAGTTGGACTAAAAGTCGACATATTATAAAATTTCGATTTGCTCGAAAGATCGTTACAAATCTGCAGTTAGAACAGGGTACAAATATTTCGAGTGGGTCGTCATGGTTTTCGGCCTCATCAATGTCCTTACGACTTTTTAAGCGGCAATCGCCAACGAGTTTTTGTTTTGTGTTGGATCATGTGGTACTGGTTTACATGGATAAAATTAATATTTACAGGCAGACCTTTGAGAATCGTCTTAAGCATATCCAACCCGTGTCGTTGATTCCTCGTAGTGCCAAATACAAAACTAACCACGACAAGTGTAAGCTCGTACGTCAAGAGTTGGTTTGTTTGATTATTATCTCACACTGGAGGATATTAATCCGTTATTGGACAAAATTTAAGTCATCCAAGAGTGATCGAAACCAAATAATGTTATTGATAATCATCTACTGCCAGCTTTGATTAACGCTTCATCGAGGGCTACTTGAAGATCATGACACAGTTAACCAAGTTGCAATTCGAGGATCGATCGTTTGACTTCGACGATGAAGAGGTGGTATGCTTAAAGATTCTCAAGACCTCGTTATTCGTACCGGTTTGCACATTTGTAACCTTTTTGTTTGTGCATTCAGCTATCTCATTGATGTCGTCCTCAAAAAACACAATGATGAGGATTAGCAATGGATAGAGTACTTTACCGCGAAAGTATCGCCCGTGCATTCGATTGACAATACACGGAATGAGTTGTTGATCTTCGTTCACGCTCCTAAGAGATGACAACGTTTTTTCTTTTGTCGATGACAGTTTCGTAAGGTTACAGACAATAACGTGCTGCTCTTTTACATATAGCAAAACACGGTGATCATCATTATCGCTCGTTGGATGACGTTCATTCAGCAATTTGACTTAATTCTCAACCATAATTTCGATCAAGTCAAACCGATTTGCGAATGAAGCTTCGAGGCGTCTGAATCTTTATACCGCGGTCTACTCTAGCTTTCAATCGATGAGGACATGCAGGACAAGTTTATTAGAGGTTATTAAGGGGCCTACACTACCTTTCAATCGATGAGGCCTTGTGGGACAACTTCATTCGGGGACCTTCGTATGAATCAAACTTGTGTAGCACACCGAACATGTTTGGGTGTTCGGTCGAACGACCCCCGAACGTGTTTGACCGAACACATTAAAAAAAAAAAAAAAAAGTTTTGGTTTTTTATTTTTAACTCGAGTTTGGTTATGAATATAAGCATAACCCCAAGGCAAAATTTGTTTGTTTTAGTTTTTTTACATAACATATATATTCTCCAGATTTTTCAGAGAATTTTTTTTTTTATAAATATTTTTTATGTTTGCGTTCGGGGGCTTTTGGCGCTCGTTCATCTTCGGTTACGAACGTTCAGGGTTGGTCTCTGAACCCGAACACGATGCTAGACATGATCAAAGGGGGCTACTTGCATGTCTACTCGCGAGGGAATTATCTTTTTTGTTTGTCGAGTGGTCCACACTTGCGTATGCAACTTCTTGGCGAGTTCCACAACTCTCCAGCCACCGGAGATTTTGGCGTCAATCGTTTGATTAACTGACTTCGGGAGTGCTTCTAGTGACCCTGCGTCCTTAGTGATGTCACGCACTGTTGCGAGTCTTGTGAGGTTTGCCGTTGTTGCAAATCCAGCAATCACAGCCCGATCGGCAAATTGCAATCATTGTCGGTATCTTTACGACGTTGGGAATCGATTGCTATAGACATTGTCGGGTCATTCCCAAAGCGTAAGTTCGGCCTAGATGAGATTTTTACAATAGGCGATCGACTCACAAAGTTCACCCACGTGGACGAATCAGAGTTTTTTTTTTTTTAGTGTTTGTTATCAAGGATTAATTAATTTTAAATAAGTTAAAGGAGGATGCCTTCGTCCGATTTTTTTTTTTTTTTTTTTGGTTATTTCTCATTCAGTGAGGAATTCAAAGCTACCTTAGTCTACTTAGCCTTCCATTTTCGACGGATTTAAAAATGGGGAGGACATAAATTTTGAGCATTCTTAGCCTTCGTGTAAAGTTGAGGGCGCTTAGATGAAGGGCGTGAAGGGGATATCTGAGGCTTGCAGAGCCTAGTAATTTGAAAAACAAACGGTTCAATTTGAGATATTAGATTTTTAAGATCTACACCATAGATTATATAATATTCAAATACCATATTCAAACAGGGGTACGACTAAAGTAAAATAATTTGGACTAGAATTACATGTAGGGATAAAAGTAGACTCATTATGCAAAATAGAATTGTTACTGATCGTAAAAGTAAAAGGAAGATGAGTAGGGTAAGCAAACGCATTACGATTACGCCACTTCTTGCAAAACTACATTTCATTAAAAGAAGTCACTAGGATTTGTGTTTCTCATCGAACCGTTCGGCACGTTCGTTCCCTTAAGCGTATTTTATGATGAAGAGTGATTTTTCACTTGGTCCATTGACATTGGGACTGCAACCAGCCCAATCTGAGTACAACGACGAAGAGAAACTTCGCTAGGATATAAAAGTTTAATGAGTGTGTGACAGTCTTGTCCTTGTGAAGGGTAGACTGCATTCGTTGATTTAACAACTTATTTGTTGCTTGCTTGAGTCCAGCAAGGATTTTGCAAAACCACTTGCTTCATCCCCAAGCATATTTCGCGTATTCCGTATTCTGACATAAAGTTAGTTGTGTCACCACAATCAATCCAAGTACGGAGATAGCGGTGTAGAAGATCAACTTTGTTATCCCTTGAACAGACTAGTATTTCATCTTACGTTATTGCTCTAGGTGATAGTGAAAGTCTACCTTCTCAAATTCCTCTGAAGGCTGAACATACAGAACATGATAAACATCAACCTTGGTATTAACAAAAGTTGGAGTTTCAAGGGAGGACTGCGGGACCGTTCCAAATACCTTCGGGAACAACGACTTACCTGTTCAGACTTTTCTGTTTTAGAGTGTGTTGAACTCGCTATGTCCGATTCTAGTTTCCTTGCTTATAGCATCCTTGGACCTTATGATTAGTTTTCTGGTAGTGCATCCTTAAGCATCCTTGGACCTTACGATTAGTCTTTTGGCAGTGCAGCCTAAAACATCCTTGGACCTTATGACTAACCTTTTGGTAATGCAGACAAACCCTTTTCCTTACCCTAGCCTTCCATTCAGCCTCACTGATTCGGAGGTCAGCCAAAGGTTTGATACTTGCGTCATTTGGATTGGCTGGGGTTTTCTACTTTAGGAAGTGGGACAATGTTCTTTGATGTGTTTCGGTTCTGGTTTCCCTTATCATAGATAGTGTTTTAGAAGACATTGATTTTTTCTTCTTCGTTATTAATCTCAGATGCATAGGCTGAGGAATTGGCTATATCAGCTTCCTGCTCTTGGCCGTTGCCGAGAGTAGGGTCATCTACTTCGGTCTTTTGTTCACCTTCCGGCAAGTCATGCACAATAGAGATAAACATTTTTTTTTTGAATTGACATTTCAACCAACCTATCCACATTCTCTTAAGTACCACTCGCCCTAAAACAAAATTAAGAAAAATCTCAAGGTGACCTAACCCACCCAAGTGTCTTTTTGAAATTTTTCTACCACACCCAACCCGTCCGTCACACGTAAAAAACCTTCACCCTGACCCACCCACATCCACTAGAACAAAATTATTCGTCCAGACTCCGTACCTAATTATTTTAAACTTGCATCGGCTCGTTCCCTATTGTCACAATCCCTTTGAACATTTACACGCACCACAACAATATGACATCCTTTGATGACGACACGAAAATTCGAAGCATCTCCACTTTGGGTCGTCCTTGGTTGACGACGCGGAAATTCGAAGCGCTCCACGAGTTTGAATTTAGGAAGCGAACCTTGTCACATATTGTGGTTAGGTTCAATACCCGTTTTTTTAATAGGAGCGAAGACCCCGTTGTTTAGACCGTGGTCCAGATGCCATGAGCCCACCGGTAGAGTGTGACACATTTTTTAAGGAGGATCCCAAAGTTCGATTTGCCATTGGCGCGACTCTCGTTTTTTTTAGAAGACGATTTTTTTTCCAGGGGGGTCCAAGGTGGAGATTTTCGGTTTCCTTGGCCTCCACCTTTTGAAGTCCGCAGGTGGACAACAACTGGGAAATATGTATGAGAGGGTCGGCGGGGGGGGAGGGTTTTTATGGGTTGTCCCGAGTCTGTGAGTCAGGTGACCCAGACCTAGCGCTCAATCCTCTGTCACCTACCCATTCAGGTGATCCAGAGCTAACATTGACCCGACCATCACGCACCCAGGCTGGCTCGCTTAAACCCAACCTCATTCCACGCGGGCCAACTTTTTAAAACCCACACCTGACCCGATGCCTCGTGGGTGGGGTGGTTGCAGGTGGGTGTGGATTTGGGTACCCGTTGCTCATCTCTGATGCGCAATGAGACGGTTCCTGCCACGAAACAGTTCGCGACCAAAGAGTCTTTTGCTTCTTGCTTTTATAACGAGGTCCACTGCCTCGAGAATGACTACGTTCCTTATGAAGGAAAACCAGTCAGTATAACCAATGAGATCTCTACCTAGACGATTAGCAAAAATGGTATGAACCGTATTGTTTAATACATCCAAGCACAATTGCATTGTCATTTTCAACCTTGGTGTAAGAAAAAGTTTGTTGACATGCAACTGGAACTTTTGCATGGTGCTTTGCCACTTGTTGCACTTGAGGTTATCTAGTTTGATCCTTACTCTTGTTGTATAATCAACGCTTCTTCGAGTGTGGCTACCGAACTAACTGTAAGTCACTCTGTCAGATTGAGCTTAGCATATTCAGATTGCATAACTTGGACTTTTAGGAATCCTTATACGACAGTCTCGACGTTTGTATTTAGGATTAAGGACTAGTTCACTCTCTAAGTGCTCTGTACAATCAACACTTCTTCAAAAGTGGCTACCGAACTGACTTTAAACCACTCTGTCAGATTGAGCGTAGCATACCCAGCTTGCATAGCTTGGACTTCTAGGAATCGTTGTATGACAGTTTCGACGTTAGTCCCTAGGATAAAGGGCTGATTCACTCTTTGAGTGCTCTGTACCTTAAAGGAAGCTCTCCTTAAGTTGATGCAGGATTCAACGTTTTCCTTGACGTCATGCTTGGACGATATCATCGCCGCCTTTTTGTTCATGTATTAACTGCTGTAGCTGGGATCATCCATTGTTGGTTTCAATCTCAAATCTGCAACAATTACAAAATTTCTTGCGCTGTAAGTTGCAGCCTGTGTAGCACATCGAACATGTTCGGAGCTTTTTTGAACAACCGAACATGTTCGGGTGTTCGGCCGAACGCGACCCGAACGTGTTTGGCCGAACATATTCAAAAAAAAAAAAAAAAAAAAACATTTTTTTTTGGTTTTTGATTTTTAACTTGAGTTTGGTTACGAATTTTACCATACCTCCAAGGCAAAAGTTGTTTGTATTATTATTTTACACAACCTATACTTATTTTAGATTTTTTTGAGGACTTTTTTTTTTTTTTTTTTTTAATATTTGTATGTTCACGTTCGGAGAGTTTCGGCGCTCGTTCGTGTTCGGTCCCGAACGTTCGGGTTCGGTCACCGAACCCGAACACGATGCTACACAGGTTGCAGCAACAGCCGAATATTTTCCTATTGCAGGTCATGAAAGACTTCCGACCAGACTCGTTGAAGAAGAAGAAAAAGAAGAAGAAGAAGTATCGAGAGGTGCAAGGATAAAATGGCTCGCAACAAAAGATAAGGCAAAATAATTTCATATCTGGGTCTGATGCAGATTCGTCATTCACTGCATTTGGTCACGGTGCTCCTAAACCATTTCTACCATTTGAGTTCGTAGTTGGCTCACCTTGTCGAGTAATTGAGATTTTAAACTCGGGAACTTGTTGAGAAAGTGATAATCTATAAGGGCTCGTACATATATGGCCAAATATCTTTTGACCTCTGTGTCCGGTTGGTTTCAAGCAGTTATAAAGATGACCTCATAAGCCTAAATAACGGTTTTGCGTTTGACCTCTTCTACATCCTCTTTGACCACCAGCTTCTGATAGAGGGTCTTGTACAGCCGTTTATCTTCTTTATCAATTACATTCATATGAGCCTTCAGAATCTCGGAAGGTTTGGTTGCTTGCTTGTTGGCAGTACTAGATCCCACAGTTGGCATATACTTTCTCTCTATTTTCTTTTGTCCCCGCGTCACGACGGACGAAATGAACTTCAGCAAAAAAAACAGATTTAAAACCACAAAGAAGATAAGGTCAAACTCTTTATAACATCCTCGGTCGTAGGTCCTGCGGCATCGTCTGCGACGGAGAAGGCTGGATGCGATGTCATAGCCGAGGCCTCACGACCACGCCACGACCAAGCAGAACCATGCGTCGGAAATCGGGTGGCGCGCACTCCTTGTCCGGATGTGGTCGTAAATGGCAGACCTTCACAGTTGTGTCATGCAGGATTTTGTCTCCTCGTCAACCCACCTTGTTTCACTTCGGCTGTGAGCGAGAATTATACTCCTCGTGGTGCCTAGCGATAGGTCTAAGACTACGCGAGGGACAACCTCTTTCTACTCAAGGGACTTTCACTATTCTTAAGTAGGGGTATTCCTGATGAGCTACCGATCCATATGTGGCGGTTTTTAATATGTTATGGCATAATTGAATCAGTCGTCACGTAGGATTTTGTTTCCTCTTCAACCCACCTTGTTCCACTCCGACCGTGCGCGCCAGTTATACTCCTCGCGGTGCCTAACGACAGGTCTCGACCCCGCGAGCGACAACCTTTTTCTACTCAAGGGATTGTCATTACATTTAACTAGGTGTATCCCTGTTGAGCTATTAACCCATATTTGGCGGTTTTTGCCATGCTAGAGGTGGATCGGCCGAGGGTTTTTTATTTTCTTCGTAGCACGGGGATTCTTGTGAAATATGACGAATTTCTTTATTAGGGTTCTTTATCCCATGTTAGGTATCGTCAGAACACACGAAACCCATATAAGCGGCCTGTCGTTTCGAAGTCTGCATAGTGACTTAATATGTTGACTTCTTTGGATTATGATAATAACAATGAGTGTAAGAGTGCTCAGATGTATATGAATATTCACTGCACTTATAACTTCATGAAGCTCCTCTGGTACTTGAAGAGAAGTGTAACAAAATTTTCGCTAACTGATGCTAACTAAGCGACCAAACTCCCTTACTTTTTTGTGATAGTGACGGTATTAAAGTAAGGGACACCTTTTAATGTGATAGAGAGTCTTTAGCGTTCCACAACGGATGATAGTCTCACTATCACGAACCTAATTGTCTAACTAGTAAAATTCAAAGAGGATCTTAATTCCTTGGTTTGTTTGCTAATAATATTTTCAAGACCCGTCTGAGACGGAGATCCGACGGGCTAACAATCTCCCTCTCTTTTTATGACTTAGACATAAATCTATGTATAATGAGGGTAATATGAATGAACAAATCATATTTTCACAGTTATGGTATGCCTGATAAGACGGACGTACCACTTACAATGCACAGTCGTATATTTAAAAAAAAAATATTTGACTCAAAACCTGCACAGATGCAAAACAAGTAACACATGTCATGCGCTAAATGCAATCAACATATACTCTTCATTATACCTTACTCGCCTAACCCTCTCTGAACATCTTTTTCGATTTTTGTGATGCATCTATGTCCAGTCCTTGCACTCCACACAAAGGACCTTTGAAAGTGATTAGACTTAAGTCACCAGACAGAAGAGAAGTTTCACCTGCCTACGAGGTTCACCTTTAGGAGTGGGTATCAAGCAGAAGCATAGTTGAATCAGCTACACCGACTTGTTTACCTGGGAAAAAAATATGTTGTGCAGTAAATACACTTGCTTTTATCAAGTTTTTTTTACTCGGTTGTACCCCGATATTTGTGATCTCACACAGGTCACAAATGTCAACATTCTTTTATTTTTTCTCTCTATGACTTGTTTTTCTCGAAGTGTACTTTTTCAAGTTTTTGCAGTCTCACCCATCGAATGATTAACTAAAATTTTAATTATTACTTTCCTAACGATCTCTATCTATTTGTCCGTAGGCTATGTCCACCACTTGCTTCAGGCAAGTTGGTTTGTGAAGTACCCATTTGGAAAATTCATTTTTTGCGGTCAAGTTTCTTTCCTATAAGACCGTTCTTTGTTTTATATGTGCATTCTTTCTTCTAGATTATTTTCACATGATCGTAACAATTTGATTTTCTATGATCATTTTTTTTTTTTTTAATTTTTAAGAAAAATCAAGTTGTAACCTGAAGTAAAATTCATGTTGCCTTTGCGAGAAGGATGTCTCGTTTTAGTGTCTTCAACTCTCATGTAACACGTCAGTCGGCCGGTGAGCCTCTGACTCCCATGGCCCATCCCACGCTACCACTGACTACCAATTAGGCCTTCTACCCCGCTAGGTTGGCTTCGTACCCCAACCTTCAATCTGCCTCCTATTTTCTTACGGCCTACGACAACCAGCAACAGTCATGGTGATGGCTGCCGCATCGTCCTGAAGCTCAAGGTGACGACAACTCGGTACAGTGACTACGATACCAGATGGTTACCACTTACACAGGGCCTGGTTATGAGCGCAGGCAGTAGCAACAGTGGTCAACAATACGGCTGCCAGTAGGAAACTGCAAATGGGTCCTCTGCTGAACTGCAGCCAAGTAAGTGCACACTTTGCCCCTTTCCCTTCATAGCAGTCCCGGTACGCTCTCCTACCTCGCTGCTTACCCCGCACTACTTCGGTCAGTAGGATTAGCAAAAACTGACTGAATAGTTCACCAGAGTGTGGGCATTGTGCTTTGTCAGTTCCTCCTTCCCGTCGAGCCAGTGCGCATGGCTCTATTCCCATAGCATGGTGTAACCAGATGAATCTGTCGTTCATACATGGGGTTATTCGTTAATATTACTTCTACCACGCTACGAGGTAAGCCATTTCTCTCGCTAGGTGGCTTGCCCCAGCTACTTCATTCAATGGAATGAGCAACTTCACCGGCCAACAGGTAAAAGTACTCAGCCCTGCGACTGCTTCACGCTAGTCCCGTAGATAGGACAAACAAACACGGAATGAATCATTCACCGAAACACGGGTAGATGCATCCCCTACTTATAACTTCCTCTCCTCCATGCCGCCTCTTCAGCTCATACCATGAAGAATCGTTGCTCAAATCAAAGTTCTAAATGCGTCATTCAATCCGCAGCATCTCACAACCTTAGTATAGTATCTTTGTTCGCCAAAATCGAACCAGAAACAAGTTCGACGACAGTCTCTATCTTACCTCATGACTCCCTCCACGCATCCAATTCTCCTAGTAGCCTTCAATCCTCAATTCTATCACTAAAACTGACACCACCACTCACCTCGCTCGGCCTCAGCACCCCGGGTTTGAGTCTTTGTGCGTTCGTTTTCGTAAGGAAACGAACCAATTCAGCTTCTCCTCTCTTCTGCTCCTCTTTACTTCTGCTACAGCTCGGCGCACCGCTTTTCGTGCCAACCTCTCTATCTGCTAACCTTCTCCTAAATCTGACCGCTCTCGGTGCGAATACCCTTACAAGGGTATCCGCCCTGGTTTTTGCAAGTAACAGAAAATTGTTTGGCTTAAAGTTTAAGTATACCGCACTAAGCGCGGCCGCGTCTGTGAGTTACGTTGACGGGGAGGTTGACTAGAATAGCGAGTGCGTGGGCGCGCAGGGTTTAAGGCGCGCGTGATTCTTTTCTGTTGTTGATCATAAAGCCGGTCCGGACCTCGGTCGTTTTGCTTAGTGATATTAATACTTATTTATATTTGATTAAGCGAGAATTGGGGGTATTTTCGGTTAGTGGTATGTTTGATCG